AGGCCGTCATCGCTGGAGTGGTAGCGCCGCTGTTTCCTCTGGTAGGTGTGTGGCTGCCATCTTGTGTGTGGCTGAGCTGGGGTTCTTGGGAGTTGGAGGCTTATGTAGTGATCTGTCGTTGTGGAGGGGTCCTGGGGGAGCTATGGGGGAGCGGAAGGGCGAGAGGAGACTCGGCGCCTTGTCACTTGGCTGAAAGGATAGGTTTCCGGGGCCTGAGTCTCATTTCGGGCTAGGGAGATAGAGGGATGGGAAGCGGATGGGGATGCCGAGCTTTGGTTTGTTGGCCAGTGTGGGGGCTTGGCGGGGGGCTTGATTTCTTAACATTGATTCCTTGGTTTCAGGGAGCTCTTTCAGTAATTTTTGTCTTGAAGAGATTCTGACCATCCGAATCTTTATTGATGAGACTGGTGGACTGCCTGATTCAGAAAGGAACAAAGCTGGTGATGAAAGTGGAAAGAGGGAGGTGCCTCACCACTGTCCTCAGGTTCGAAGGGAGACCTCGTCATTTTCCGTCGTCGTCCCGGAGTAGCCTTCCCCGAGGCCGTCCTTTGGTACTAGTGTCAGGTTCTTTGCGCAGTTTTATTCATTAGCGTGTGTTCCTCCAGCGGACTTTTCTTGAAAGCTAGAAAGTGGTGGTCTTTGCAGAAGCAGAGGAAAGGAAGAATTCTGTTAAATTCTGTTTTCCCTCATTTCGATGCGTTGTATACATTTCTGATGTCGGCATGACATGTTGGCTGCTCTGTCATATGGAGTTGCGGGAGGCTTTTTGGAGTGGAAGGAAAGACATAGGAGTTACCTTGTTTTCCTTTTTTTTTTTTTTTTTGTAAATTGAAGAAGCACACATCGTCTTTCATTTGATGGAAAATGTATCAAATCTGAAAACCAGGCCAGTGAAAGGCTAACATTTTGTGATTAACTCCAGCAGTTTGATACCCAAAGAAGGAAAGTAAAGATAACTTATAATAGCCTTGAGTTTAGTTTACAATTTTTCAAAGTTAACTGGTAACTGGGTCAACAGTACAAGATGTAGACATTTTGTGAGAGGAATATCAAAAACAAAATTTTTAAAAAGTGAAATAATTGACAAATTTAAAATTAATTTTGTTTTTCATTTTTTTAATCCATGAGCTTCATAAAACCTAAGTTGCAAAAATTCAAATATCAGTACTTGAGTGTTGAGTTGACAGTGAATGTGTTAATACAGTCTAACATACTAGAGTGAGATGGATGGGTAAGAAACACCAATAACAGGGACTAGCAGATGACATAATGGTTACATTGCTGGACTCCCATGTAGTTAACCACGGTTTGAATCCCAGACACTACAACTTAAGTTCATGCTGAGTGCATGTGTGTGTCTGAAATCTTGAAAGGAGAATGGAGGAGAAGGGATTGTGGCGTGGCCATCTCCCTTGGGGGGTAATTTCTCGCTTTCTGCCTCTCTCTGTCTCTCTGTTGAGTGCATGTGCTCTATAGCAACAATTTCTCTTAAAAAAAAGAAAAAAGAAACACCAATAACAGAAGCTCAGTAAATGTTAAAACATTCCTTTCCCATTCCCCTATAAAAGTATGTGCCCAGGGAACCAGCAGTTAGCATAATGGCTATGTCGCTGGACTCCCACGTAGTCGACCGCGGTTCGCGTCCCAGACCCGGTGGCTTAAAACTCACGCCGGGCGCATGTGCGTGCGTGCCCAAGATCCCAAGAGGAGAATGGAGGAAAAGGGATTGCGGCGTGACCATCCCCCCTGGGGGGTGATTTCTTGCTTTCTGTCTCTAATGTCTCTCTCTGTCTGGTGAGCGCACGCGCCCTATAGTGAAAATCTCTTCAAAAAAAAAAAAAAAGTATGTGCCCATATATTAGACAATATAATTATTTGTATCTTGATTAATGTATAGGGATCTTACACATGGCTCATATTTTAAAGCTTTAAATTCTTACCTCTTTCTGCCTAGTTGGGTAATCTATAGCTTCAATTTCAAAAGCAGCTTTCCTCTTTATCTTTTTACTCACTGCAAGTGCCCTCATTCAAGCACTCTTTTTTTTCTTAGAAACATTTTTATATCCAATCATATTGGCAAGCCTATGCTACTCAGCTTGGAATTTATATTAAGATTAGATTTAGTGGCCCAGCTGTGGTGATACAGGCTGTAGAGAATAGCTGCATCATACTGGAGCCATATGGGAAGGCTGGGTTCAAATCTTAGGTTGATCTGAATACATCAACCTTCCTTAATGGCTGAAAGGCTAGGAGGAGGATCACTCTACATTAAGACCCTGTCATAGGTATGCTTGTCTCTTTCTCAAAAAGGAAATAAACTATATAGGTTTGGCTACTGTAATGGAGAAACTTCAAAATAATTGTGACCTTAAAAGATAATGATTATTTCTTTAATATGTAAAAATGTGAGTTGATCAGCTGGTTTTAACAGAACCAAACCTATACTCCTTCTGGATTGTTGCTCTGTATTCTTATCATGCATCTCCATCTCGTGGGCCAGGATGGCTTCTTCACATCTTGCTGTTAATACTCTATGCTTCATTTGAAGGATAAAAATGAATTTTAATAGCTAGCAGGTGGTGTGGTGCTTAAGGTGTTGGACTCTCACATGGCAGGGACTGCTTGAAAATCATGCCAGGAAAAAAAAAAAAAGGAAGAAAATCATGCCAGTGTGTGTGCATGCATGCCCAGAATCCTGAGAGGAGAATGGAGAAGGGATTGCAGCATGGCCATCCTCCCTGAGGATGGGGAAAAAAGAATTTTAGGAGACAGTATTTGCAAATGGTAGTAGTAGATTTTATTCCTCACCTTAATTTTTTTTTGGAGAGGTTTTTCACTATAGGGCGCATGCGCTCTCCAGACAGACAGAGAGATACATAGAGACAGAAAGCGAGAAATCCCCCCCCAGGGGGATGGTCACGCTGCAGTCCCTTCTCCTCCATTCTCCTCTCGGGATCTTGGGCACGCACGCACTTGTTCCTGGCATGAGTTTTAAGCCACCGGGTCCTGGACGCGAACCGCGGTTGACTCCATGGGAGTCCAGTGACATAGCCATTACGCTAACTGCTGGTTCCCCTCACCTTAATTTTTTAGGAAGAGAATGGAGAAGAGATTGCAGCAGCATCATCCCAATAGTAGGAGAATAGTTTTATAAATTAGGGCACATCCATGGTGATAGGATAATTTTCAACCTTTTAAAAGGAATGTTTTCAAATGTTATCTAGTGACATAAGCTATTTAATGAACGTAGAAAAAGTGTCACCATTTAGTATTAAATGAAAAAGGCATAGTTGGGGAAATACAATTAAAACTATAATAAGATACTGTACAACCTCTTAGAATAGTGGGGGAGAAGGGGAGGGGCAATCCTGCTGGCCCTGTGGCCTAGTGGTTAAGTGAGCTGGATCCCACATGGCTAACCATGCAGTTTGAATCCTAGCTCTGGCAGCTTAAAACACATGCTGGGTACTTGTATGAGTAGCCAAAATCCTGACAGGATGGAGACATGGAAGAAAAGAAGGGATGTGTGACCACTCGCCACTGGGGTATGCTTTCTTCCTCTCCATCTCTCGCTTGTACACACATGTGCCCTCTGGACAATTTCTTTTCAAAGGCAATTCAAGTAGTAGCAAAGAAGGAAAACAAGGAGATATTTCAGTCTTTCTAGTGGGAATTAAACATACCGTTAGTCACATAATCTAGCAATCCTATTCCTTCCTTGAAATTTACCAGCAAGATATCTGAGCTTCAGTAGTTTTTTCCCTCTCTTATTTCTTTCATGAGAAAAAGAGACATATACACACAACACAGAAAGAGAGAAACAGGTACCCTCAACAAGATCTCATTATGCTGCAATCCCCTTCCCCCAGCCCTCCAGCTATTACAGTTGGGCTACTGGGCACAGGGATACCGGGTATGTTTTGGGTTGACTCAGGATTCAAACCTGCAGTTGACCACGTGACTTCCAACACTGTAACTCATCACACTATCAATTGCATCACTGAAACTGGACCTCCAGTAGCTTATTCTTTCCAGCACTTGGCATGATCAAGTTTTGTTTTCATTTCATTTTATCCTTTATATGGTGTATGGAGTGGTATTTTGATGTGTTTTTAATTTCCCCATTTACTATTATTTGCCTCACTGATGAAAAGTAAAATGAAAACCCATTTGGCCACTCTGAAAATATGTGTAGCAATTTTTTTTTTATTTTTTAATCATTGAAAACCAGAAACAACCCAATTATCAACTGAGAAATGGATTTTTTAAAATTACAGTTCAGGGTCAGGGGTCCCAGTTGGTGTGGTGGTTACGGTGCTGGACTCTCCTACATGGCTGACCACCGTTCAAGTCCCATACCTGGTGGCTTGCTTTCTCACTTTCTCTTTCTCTCTGATGAGCACATGTGCCCTATAGCAAAACAATTTAAATAATAATAAATAAAATTAAATAAATCTTAAAAAAGAAAATTACAGCACATTATTACATATAACACAGGAGCTCTCTTATTCCAGGAAAGCATTCAAGTATATAAAAGAGAATATCACATAGCTAGCTATGTAGTAAGTTATAAGAAAAAGCATAAAAATAAGCTATAAAACATTATATGATGAAAACACACCAGAAAATGTGGCCACAAAGCAGAAGAAAATGGTAACCTAAATATTTTAAAATGAGTTAAGAGAAATTTAAAAAAAGACAGTTTTTGAAAGACCCACATAAATCAGAAGTAAAATGAGCTCGGTAATGTGGCTAGACCATAGAAGAATGTGAAATAAGAGCCTACAGAACTCTGGAGAGATTAGAAAAAAGGAGACTTATTTTTTCTTTAAAAAAACATTTTTTTTTTCAGTTTTGCTGCAAGGCTCATGAGCTCACCAGGGAGAGAGAGAGAGAGACAGAGAGAGAGAAAGGGAAAGTGATAAATCACCCCCCAGGGATGGCCACACAGTGCACAGCAATCTTTCTCCATTTTCCTCCCGGGATTTTGGACATGCATACAAACACCCTGAGTGGTTTTTCAAGCTACCAGATCTGGGACTTGAACTGTGTAGTTGACCATGTAGGATCCAGTTGCCTTAACCTCCATACCACCTGCTGGTCCAAAATGAGAACTTTTTAAATGATGGCTTAATTAAGACAGTAATGGAACCAGCAGATGGCATAGAGGTTATGTTGCTGGACTCTCACATGGCTGACTGCATGGTTTGAGTTCCAAACCTGGCAGCTAGAAACTCACACCAGGTGTGTGTGTGTATGTGTGTGTGTGTGTGTTTATGTGTGCACCCAAAAATCCCAAGAAGAGAATGAAGGAGAAAGGATTGCAGTGTGGCCATCCCACCTGGGGGTGGTTTCTCACCTGCTATCTCTCTGCTGAGTGCACATGTCCTATAGCAAAAATCTCTAAAAAAAAAAAAAAAAAAAAAAAAAAAAAAATCATCAAGATGATAATAAGAGTGTATATATCACAGAAAGCAAATTAAGACAGAGGATACAAAGAAGAAGTAAAGAAAATCACATTGATGGAGAGAGAGACAGAGACAAAGAAAATGTGAAATATCTCGCAGGTGGGATGGCTACTTCACAATCCCTTCACCTCCATTCTCCTCTCAGGATTTTGGGCAAGCACACACACATGCACCCTGTATGATTTTTCAGGCTGCTGGATCAGTACTTGAACTGGGCAGTTGGCCACTTGGGACCCAGCTGCCTTAACCTCCATGCCATAAAATCAAACAGATTTTTAGAAGGAGTCTAGAGAAGGTGACAAGACCAGGAAAAGGAGCCAAAATATATATAAATGGAATTCCTCAAATGTAAAACAAAGTGAAATAGTGATGGTTATATAACTAACATTGTGAATATACTTAATACCATTGAATTGTAAACTTATGAATACAAGTCTTGCTTATTTTTAGCCACAATAACAAACAAAATGCAAGCCAAAACAATGGCCAGAACATCTATAAGAACTATGACTCAGGAACAATAAACATTAAAGGTTTAAATTTACATATGTTGAAAAGTAAGATGTGAATCTGGGGAAATCAGCCTCCAGCAGTTAACTCTGAGATGTAGTCTTATAAAATTGTTGTATTAAAAAAAAGAGGGTGGCCAGCAGGTGGTGTAGTAGTTAAGGCACTGGACTCCCATGTGGCCTACTACAGCTCAAGTCCTGGACCCAGCATCCTGAAAATCACACTGGGTGCATGGTGCCCCAATTTCTGAGAGGAGAATTGAGGAGAAGGAACTGTGGGGCATGGCCATCCCCACTAGGAGGTGGTTTTTTGCCTTCCCTTTCACTATTTCTCTTGTTTCTCTCCAGTGGGTGCAGATATCCTATGGCAACAAACAAACAAAAAACAACAACAAAAAACATTTATAAAAGGGGGAAGGGCAGCAGGTAGTGTGGTAGTTAAGGCACTGTATTCGTGCATGGCTATCTATGGTTCAAGTCCCAGACCCAGCAGTTTAAAACTTAGGCTGGACCCATGAGTGTACATCCCAGAAATCTGATAGGAGAATGGAGGAGAAGAGATTGTAGCATGGCTATCTGCCCCATCCTGGTGTGATTTCTCACTTTTCCTCTCTGTCTCTCTTTGGCGAGCGCATGTGGTCTATGGCAAAAACGTTTAAAAAAGCAAAAAGCAAAACGAAAACTTTTTTCATCCATAGGAAAAAAGTCCTAGTGACTTAGAGAAAAGATCAGATCGAATTAGATTTTTTGACGTTTTATGCCAGATGATAGCAAAGCAACATTTAAAAAAGAATTCAAGGGAATAAAATAGTTTATATTGCACCAAACTATCCTTCAAGAATTCAAAGCATTGGGAACCAGCAGTTAGCGTAATGGCTATGTCGCTGGACTCCCACGTAGTCGACCGCAGTTCGCATCCCGGACCCGGTGGCTTAAAACTCACGCCAGGCGCGTGTGCGTGCGTGCCCAAGATCCCAAGAGGAGAATGGAGGAGAAGGGATTGCGGCGTGACCATCTCCCCTGGGGGGTGATTTCTCGCTTTCTGTCTCTATGTCTCTCTCTGTCTGTCTGGCGAGCCCACGCGCCCTATAGCAAAAATCTCTCCCAAAAAAAAAAAAAAAAGCATTGACATACAGTTATAAACATAAAATAATTCAAGGAATATTGTTTCCATGAGTCCTTACTGAAGATTTTAGAAAGGCACCATACAGAGGAAGCTGGATCCAATAGGGCTGGCTAGGGTTTGATTCCTGGCTCCATTGGCTTGAAAAACACATCTAGGGGACCTATCCCTGCATGTACAGGATCCTGAGGGGATGGAGAATTAAAAGAGAAAGAATTGCAGTGAGACAAAGTCCCACTGGCTGTGTGCACACGTGTGTGCGTGTACTCGCTGGCAAGCACTCACACTCTGGCAATTTTTTTTTTAAATGGGGGTAATGGTGATGGAATAGTATGTAAATGTTATACAATCCGGCAATGTACAATAGAAATACTACTGTACAATCCCCCGACTGGCCTCATCCAAACATGGCAGAAGAAAGTTAAGAGAAGTAGAGTAAGGCTATTTGCCTCTTAGGAATTATTTGGGAGCAGAAAGGGAGCACTTGAACTGACTAAAAGCTTAAACATACATTTAACATATTTAACATACGATAAATAAAAATACCAGGGAAGCTATTACTATATGGTGGCACAGAAAGAACGGAAGAGGAAGTTACTAGCTAGTATTGCTTATAGCAGGGAAATAGTATCTTTTTTTAAAAAAAGAATTATTCTTTTATTTAATTTTATTCACTGTCGTCATTTTATTTTTTAATTTTTCTGAAGTTGATCAGAAAGAGACAGATAGAGAGGGAAAGAAAGTGAGAAAACCAGCTGCCAGGTCCGGGACTCAAACCACGGTCAACTATGCAAGAGTCCAGCCACCTTAAACACCATACCACCTTCCAGCCCTAGGGAAATAGTATCTTTTTAAAAATAAATACATCATTTTATTTTATTTATTCATTCATTTATTTTAATTTGATCAGAGAGAGACACAGAGGGTAAGAGAGGGAAAGTGAGAAATCAAGCCACCAGGTCTGGGACTTGAACAGTGGTTAGCCATGTGGGAGTGTCCAGCGCCTTAATCACCATACCACCTACTGGTCCCTCGGGAAATAGTATCTTTTCTTTTTTTGGAGAGGTTTTTGCTATAGGATGAGTGCGCTCACCAGAAAGACAGAGAGAGACACAGAGACAGAAAGCAAGAAATCACCCCCAGGGGGATGGCCACACCACAATCCCTTCTCCTCCATTTTCCGCTCAGAATCTTGGGCACGCACGCACATGCACCTGTCGTGAGTTTAAGCCACCGGGTCTAGGACTCGAACCACGGTTGGCTACATGGGAGTTCAATGACATAGCCATTACACTAACTGCTGGTCCCAGAGAAATATTATCTTAAAAGGAGTCGGGGAATAAACAATTTTGTATAAAGATATTACTGTAGAGTTGACCCTAGGAAATGCAAAAACTTCACTAAATACTGCACCCCTCCCTTGGGACCAGCAGTTAGCAGTTGGTGGGAATGTAAACTGGTTTAGCCACTGTGGAGACCAATTTGGAGGTTCCTCAAAGATCTACAAATAGACCTACCATTTGATCCAGCAGTCCCATTTCTGGGTATCTACCCAAAGGACAGGCAAACACTCAGTCAGAAAAGTGCTTGCACATCAATGTTTATTGCAGCATTATTCATGATCACCAAGACATGGAACCAACCTAAATGTCCACAAACAGATGAATGGATTGAAAAAGTGTGGCATATATACTCTCTGGAATACTACTCAGCCATAACAAAACAAGACCCTGGATTTGATATAAAGTGGTCAGATATGGAGGATCTATTGCTGAGTGAAGCAAGCCAGGGTATGAAAGAAAGATATTGTATGTATCCACTTAATATATACTGACTATCCGCACTCTATGGTAGAGAGTGAAATATTGAAGGACATAAAAGCAGTGAAAATAGTTAACAAGGATAAGACAGTGTGGAATGGGTGAGGGGAGAGAAGAGAAGAGTATAGAGAAGATAGCAAGAGAATGAATAGAGAGGCATGACATTTGTAGGACACAGACATGGTTTATTACCTGTTGATGACATGTATAGTATTCTTAACTGGATTGGTCTGAGAAGTATTTCATGTTGGGTAAAGTCTTTTTATAAGCAAAATGAGAAATAGTGATTGACTTTTTAAAAAAATTGTAATGATAATAATGATCTGGAAAAATAATGAAAAGATATTTGATGATGAAATGGGGATTTTAATGTCTGTATTGACTGATATGCATGGTATTCCTTCTGGAAAAAGAAATGTAATACACTGTAAAGTTATATGTGGTTCAATGTAATACAAACAAGATTATGGTGATAATAAATAAATTTAAAAACAGATCATACAGGTTTATATCAAACTCTGAATCATCTGAATATGTCTTTTTAAGTGCATATTGAACATTTATAAAAATCTTTTCTATATTAGAGCACAGAGAAATACTCAATTAAAAGATATAAAAAATAGTCAAAGTTTTGATCACAAGCAATAAACCTAGAAAATTATTTAAAAATAAAGAGGCCCCTTTCCACAGTACCTGCACAAGGCTCCATTCGGTGTTGTTCTGGATTCCCATTCTAACTTAAAGGGAAACCTACACAATGTCCGGAGCCCTTGATGTCCTACAAATAAAGGAAGAGGACGTTCTCAAATTCCTTGCAGCGGGAACCTACTTAGATGGCACCAACCTTGACTTCCAAATGGAACAGTACATCTATAAAAGGAAAAGTGATGGCATCTATGTCATAAATCTTAAGAGGAACTAGGAGGCGTTTCTGCTGGCAGCTCATGCCATTGTTGCTATTGAAAAATCCTGCTGACGTCAGTGTCATATCTTTTAGGAACACTGGACAGAGGGCTGTGCTGAAGTCTACTGCCACTGGAACCATTCCTGTTGCTGGCCATTTCATTCCTGGAACCTTTACTAACCAAATCCAAGAAGCCTTCCTGGAGCCACATCTTTTGGTGGTTACTGATCCCAGTGCTGACCACCAGCCTCTCACAGAGGCATCTTATGTTAATCTACCTTCCATTGCTCTGTGTAACACAGATTCTCCTCTGCACTGTATGCACATTGCTATCCCATGCACCAACAAGGGAGCTCACTCAGTGGGTCTGATGTACTGGATGCTGGCCAGGGAAGTTCTACACATGCATGGCACCATTTCCCATGAACGCTGTGAGAGGTCATGCCTGCTCTCGACTTCTACAGAGATCCTGAAGAATGAAAAGGAGTAACAGGCTGCTGCTGAAAGGGCTGTGGCCAGGGTGGAATCTCAGGGTGAATGAACTGCTCCAGCTCCTGAGTTTACCACTACTCAACCTGAGGCTGCAGACTGGTCTGAAGGTGTGCAGGTGCCCTCTGTGCCTATCTAGCAGTTTCCTACTGAAGACTACAGCCCCAGCTGCTCAGGTCACTGAATGGATGGAAAAAAACCACTGAGTGATCTTAAACCTGCTCTTCCACAGACTCTTATATGAAGTGGAAATAAGGTTGATAAGGGAAATAAAAGTTTCTAAAATAATAATAATGATAATAATAATAATAAAGGGGCCAATAAAACCCAACCTAAAACCACAGTAAGACATAGCCTCACCCTAATTACAGTGCTTATTATCAAAAACACAAAAAATAATGAATGCACATATGGGTGGGGAAAAAGGAGAACTTTTAATATAATTGGTAGGAATATAAATTAGTATAACCATTATAGACAACAATATGATAGTTCCTCAAAAAGTTTAAAATAGAAAAATTACATGATCCAGCAATCCCACTACTGGGTATGTAGCTAAAAGAAATAAAATCACTATGTTAAAAATGAATTTATAGGGACCAGCAAATGGCATAGTGTTTATGTAGCTGGACTCCCACATGGCCGGCTACAGCTCAAGTCCTGGACCCAGTGGCTTCAAAATCACACCAGGCATGTGTGTGTATGCCTAAGATGCTGGGAGAATGGAGAAGAAGGGATTGTGGCCTGGTCATCCCCCCAGGGGGGAGGATTTCTCACTTTCCCTCTCACTGTCTCTCTCTCTCTCTGGCGAGCACGTGTGCCTAAGCCAAAACTTCTCAATAAATAAGTAGAATAATAATAAATAAAAATAAAGGGCCAGGGCCAGCAGGTGGCATGGTGGTTAAGGCACTGGACTCCCACATGACTGCCTACAGTTCAAGTCCCTGACCTGGTAGCTCACATTCTCACTCTCCCTCTCTCTCACTGTCTGTCTTTGGTGAGTGCATGTATCCTATAGCAAATTAAATAATAATGATTTAAATAATTTTAAAAAGCATGTGGTTACCAATTGTACGTATGGGTATTTTCCATTTAATAAATAAATAAACATACATAAAGGGGCCAGCTCTGTAGTGAGCAGTAATGAGCTGCTCAGGAGAGATCTCACATAGTGACCACAGTTTGAATCCAAGTCAGCCAGAAACACATGATACACACATGTGAGTGCCCAAGAATCAATTGGCCAGAGAACTGGGGGGAGGAGGTTGTGGGATGACCACACCCTGTGGAGGGTACTCAGTCAGCTATCTCTCATTATGTGTGTGTGTATGATCTACCATTAAAAAAAAAACAATGACTCCAGATTTCAGTAGGTTGTTGGCAACTCTCTAAGTGCAAATCTTTTCATATATCCTCCAATAAAACATACACATCGAAGAAGTGCAAATTAAACCACTATCACCTTTGCCTAGCTAGCATAATGTCAAATTTTCAGCATTTAGGGAGTTCAACAATGGATTTCAGAGCCAATTCTGAAATCTATGCAGAAGTGGTGAGTGAGGTGGAAACTATAGGAAAGAGAAGAGGGAAGAAGGACATAGGGGCTGCAGAGAACAAATACAATCATTTCTGGAAAAAAAAGGAAACATACTCTGAATAGGGAAATACTGAGAAGAGATACAAGACTTATTAGACAAAAGGAAAAAACTTGAAAGTACATGGGACCAAAGAGGTAGTTTTAGGAGAGTTCTGCTTCTGGAGAAAGAAGTTGACTTGGAAAGAATACCATCTACCCAAGACTGGTATTAAAGAGAAGTGGCAGTAGAAATTAAACATCTTACCAAAATGAAACAGAAGATATATCATCGCCCTCTCTCACCCAAAAAAGGAGTAATTGATTTAAAAAACAAAACGCCTATTGGGCCAGCCCCATTGCCTAGTGGTTAAGGAAGCCAGATCTGACATGGCTGATCACTGTTCAATTCCTGGCCCCAGTAACTTGAAAAACATGCAGGGGTGTATGTGAGCGTATGCCTCAAATCCTGACAGAATGGAGAAATGGAGAAGGGATTGTGGTATGATCATGCCCCAACAGGGAATACTTTCTCTCTGCATGCCCTCTGACAATTAAAAAGAAAGAAAACACCTTATTAAATACTACAGAATTAAGAAATTCAGTAGCTCATCCAAATCTCTCATTCCTGTTATATACAGCAGGCATCTGATTTAGGAAAAATGAATCACTTCAAAATGAACAGAAGATGGCAGACAGCATCCATATAAAGTTACTTTAAGTAGAAAACAAAATAGTAGTCTAAACAAAAATATTCTTGAAACATTCAGCTCTAGAGCTAAAGAAAACTATAGTATATTGCCCACACCTGAATTAAATATCTTTAAGTATTTGCAAAAATAAAAAGGCTCAGGTCCAAATTCAAAAACCCCAGAACAAATGGACAAAAAGAAGATATGGAAAGTGAATTTACTGAACTCAGGAAACAAAGGAAAAATAAAAATTTCAAGAGAGATTTTTCTATAGGGCATGTGTGTTCACCAGAGAGATAGAGACAGAGAGACAAAAGTAAGAAATCACTCTCCCCGGGGGGGGGGGGGAGAGCCCCCACCAAAAAAAAAACCCCCCCCCCGGGGGGGGGGGGGGGAATGACCACACTATAATTCCTTCTTATTCTCCTCTTGGGATCTTGGGTATACACACACACACACACACACACACACACACACACACACATAGCTGGCATGAGTTTTAAGTTGCCTGGTCTGGGACTCCAACCATGGTCAACTATGTGTGAGTCCAGCAGTGTAACAATTACACCATCTGCTGATCCCAATAATTTTTAAAAAATGAATCTAAATTTCATTATGTAAGGGAGAACAGCTATGACTAAATTTAAAGGCACTGGAAAAAAAAATGAAGATGCCAAGAGAATGGAAAGTAAATGAATAAAGATTTAAAAAAATAAGGAGGGGTGTCGTCAGAAAAGTCATGATGCATTTTTGCATAAAAATATAGAAAAAATGCATCATGACTTTTCTGACAACCCAATAGATAAAATAATATTTAATTATATAAAATACTATTAACAAAATATGTAAGAAACAAAGTTAGAATTCCTAAGAAGAAAAAGACAACAGGCAGATCTGATATTTAAACTTCAGTCTAGGAAAACACCATGGAAATAAGAGAAGACTCAAATCTACATGTTGAAAAGATTCTTTGTGTACTGTGAAAGTTGATCCAAATGATCAGCTCCAAGTCACATCCTAGTAAAATGATTTGACTTTCAAGATTATGAAGAAAAATTCCTCTGGGCTTCTAGGCAGAAAGAAGAGGATAGCAACAGATTTCTCAATAACAACATACAAATCAAACCAGCCACATAACAACATATTTAAAAGACTATGACAGTGTAAAACAAAGATTACATAACTGTGACTCATTCCTAGAAAAAAATAACTATGATAAATCCCACTTTATTTTTACAGAAATTATTTACTTGAAGAAAAATTTAATGAGCAATGTAAAAAGACAAATGACAAAGGAAGAATAAATATTTAGACATATCACAGAAGAGCTAATCTCTAATGGAAACAACATCTTTATAATATCCAAGCAAACTAGATCTCAACACAGTAGGAAAACGGACCAGGGTCATGAAAAGAAAGTTCACAGTAAAAGAAATACAGATGACGGATGTATAAAAACTGTCTTAATTTCATACAGAGATTAATGCAAATTAAAGCTATATTAGAAAATCAAGGCCTTACTAAAAGCATCTTTCACCCAGATCCAAAAGTTGCAGTATGTACTCCTTGTAGACTGTAGTGAAGCAGGCATTCTGAATCATTATTGGTAGGGATACAAAAATACAAACTAAACTGCATGAGATGGAATTTGGCATTATCCAGCAAAATTACATATGCATTTATCCTTTAACACAGGCATTTAACTTTTAGGAATCTTTTCTAAAAACATAGTGAAATAAGATATAAGCTGGCATTTGTGTAAGGTTACTTGTACTACAGCAGATTGGAAACGACTAAAGTCCCCATTAGTAGAGGACTGGTTAGATACAACAGTATACATCCATTCAGTGAAACAATCTCTAGAGGACATAAAAGAGAATGTATAGGGGCCAGATGGTGGTGCGGTTGTTAACGCATCTGGCTCCCACATGCCAACTTCATGACTGGAGTCCTGGATCGAGTGGCTTGAAAAAGACACTGGGTGCATTTGCATGTGTGCCCCAAATCCTGAGGGTAGATATGCCATAGCCATCCCCCACGGATGATAATTTCTCACTTTCTCTTTCTGTTTCTCTCCAGTGAGTGCACTTGCCCAATACTCCCAAGAGGAGAATGGATGAGAAGGGCTTGCTATGTGGCCATTTCCAGGGTGTGGGTGGAGGGGAGGTGATTTCATGCCTTCTCTCTCTCTCTCTCTGTCTCTCCAGAGATCGCATGCACCCTATAGCAAAAATCTCTTTTAAAATATTGTAAGCTGGGAACCAGCAGTTAGCATAATGGCTATGTCACTGGACTCCCACGTAGTCTACCGTGGTTCGCGTCCCAGACCCTGTGGCTTAAAACTCATGCCGGGCGCGTGTGCGTGCGTGCCCAAGATCCCGAGAGGAGAATGGAGGAGAAGGGATTGCGGTGTGACCATCCCCCCTGGGGGGTGATTTCTCACTTTCTGTCTCTATGTCTCTCTCTGTCTGTCTGGCGAGCGCACGTGCCCTATAGCAAAAACCTCTCCGAAAAAAAAAAAATACTGTAAGCTGAAAATGTATTTAACACAACTAACCTACTGAATATCATGGGTTAGGCTAGCCTACCCTAAATGTGCTTAGAACACTTAATTAGTCTATGGGTAGGCAACATCTAACACAATGTCTATTTTATAATAATAAAATGTTGAATATTTTATGTAATTTATTGGATACTGTACTTAAAATGAAAAAACAAAGGTTGCACGGGTACTCAAAACACAATTTCTACTGAATGAGTATCACTTTTGTATCACCATAAAGTTGAAAAATCATGAGTTAAACCATGTATGGTATATTGACATAAGGACCATCTATAGCATATTGACATACCATACAAGAAGAGGAAAATTTTCTAGTGACTTCACAACATAGATATTAACTGTTTTGTATTAATAGAATATATTCAGTAGTAGTAGTATTGGTGTATTGCTATTTTGAAGTATGTTACTGAGTAAATTATATTACTAAGTAAAATAAGTGTTAGAAAATTTTGATAATTGTTGGACAAACCCACAGAAGTTTATTAAGGTTATGACTTAAGAAAATTTTGTCTGGAAAGACCTGAGACATATTGAGGAAAGTGAAAATAATGTATGAAATTAAACAGAAGAGAGCTAACATATAGGGTGCACGTTGTATAGAAGGCAATGTGCTAGGCGCTATTTATATGTTCTATTTTTGGGTCTTGAAGCTACACGTTCAGATC